GGTCCCTTCCAACCCAAACCAGGCTGGGATTGTATGAAGAGGACAGCAAGCTACTTCAGCAGTTCAGCTGGGCCTCCTCACTTGGTAAAGAAATTGGAGCTGAGAGCCTTCAGCTCCGGCATGAAACCTCTGACTTGGCTTCGCCAAAACCTCTGGGTGTTTTGGACTGTGCCAAGAAAAGAGAGGAGATCTGGAGGTGGAGTCTCAGTTGTGTTTTGTTGCTTGAAAAGACACTAAGCTTGTGTTCTTTTTCCTGGCCTTGCCTCCCAGATGGTGGGAATCGGGACGTCGGATGTGAATCTGGACAAGTACCGCCACACCTTCTGCAGCCTGCTGGGCAAGGACGAGGACAGCTGGGGACTCTCCTACACTGGTAATGCAGGCAGGGCAGTGGCAGGATGGCTGGAAGGGCAGCAGCGGGCACAAGTGTTGTCCTAAGGGGTTGAGAATTAAACGATCTGAATGGGATTGAGGCCAAGAAGGCCACCAGACCTGTGAGTCCCATCGTTAACAACAACCGGAGCGGCTGCCTGGAGTGTCTGGCCTTGCCTGCGTTTTGCAGACCCCTCCAGGGCGCCTGGACTGCCGGCTGCACGTCACTGATCGGGGGTTTCAGTGCCGCTGCCTGCGAAAAACCTCAACTTTCCCCTTTTCATTGTCCGCTCTGAGGCGGGAGGGCAGGGATCAGGCAGCTGGGCAGGGATCTGGCCCTGAGCGAGGCTGTACCAGTGGGAACTCACGATGCAGGAGTTGGGATGAACTCGTGGCGCGCAGACTTTTCGCTGAATGCCTTTTTCTTTGATTTTAAGGACTACTGCATCACAAGGGAGACAAAACAAACTTCTCTTCGAGGTTTGGCCAAGGCTCCATCATCGGGGTGCACTTGGACACGTGGCACGGGACGCTCACGTTCTTCAAAAACCGCAAGTGCATAGGTAAGAGCCAGGGCAGCTGGCACGGCCTGTGGGCAGGGGGACTGGCAGGGGGGAGCAGCGCAGCTTTGGCTGAGCTCAGTCTGCCTGCGGCAGGAGAAAACCCTGGCAAAGTAGAAGACCAAGGCGTGAAGCGAGCGGGAGGAAGGTTACGTTTGTTGTTTAATAGATTGGGATTACAAAGGGCCGTTTTCCAAGCGTTTTCCAGCAGCTCTGTAGTTAATAGGTTCGGGGTGGCTGGGAGGAGTGAGATCCCCTCGTCAAAACTAACGTGACACCTCCCTGCTGCTGTCCCCCGGCAGGGGTTGCAGCTACGAAGCTGCAGAACAAGAAGTTTTACCCCATGGTGTGCTCGACGGCGGCCAAGAGCAGCATGAAGGTGATCCGCTCCTGTGCCAGCCGCACGTCCCTCCAGTATCTCTGCTGTTACCGCCTGCGCCAGCTCCTGCCCGACTACGTGAACACGCTGGAGGTGCTGCCATTGCCGCCGGGACTCAAGCAGGTGCTACGCAACAAACTGGGGTGGGTCTTGAGCATGAACTATAGCATGTCGAAGCCTTCCTCCTCCTCCTCATCAGGAAGCGACTCAGACAGCTCCTGTGGCTCAGACGCAGAGGCCTGCCAAAGGAAGAGGTGCAGGAGGACATAACATATCTGCAGACGAACTGCTGTGAGGGAGTTGGGTGGGGTTTTGTTCTGCCAGCCGGGCCTGACGCACCTCTTTCTTCACGAGGACTTCCATTTCTACTCATTTGCAAAGATTTCTCTTCTGCTGTTGGAAATCTTTAGCCCAAACACCCATCAAATGCAGTGAAAACACTTCTCCAAGAGGTCCCAGCTCTGTGAAACGGGTAAACCGCAGCCAGTTATCGGAGCTCCATCTCCTGACTTGCTATCAAAGCCATCACCTCTCCCTGAAGGATCCCTCTTCTCTGCGGACCGTCAGCAGAGACAAGATTTAAGGCAGCCTCTTGATTTCAAAGCATGCTAGGCTCTGGTCAGGTAACGGCCTTGACTCATCAAAGGACAAAATCACAGACCAGTGACCCCCTCCCAGCTCCTGTGTGTTGGTTTGGTATCTGTGATGAACTCGTCCCGCTGTGGGGCACGATCGAGCAGCAGCACGTAGGGAAACGGGCTCCCAGAGGATGCATCTGTGCCGCTGTTGTGACAGAGCGGTTACTTGCACGCAGTGAGCTGTTGGTGATCTTTCTTGAGCCCCCCGATGACTTTAGTTGCTTTGCATGTTGGCTCCTGCTGCTTCTCCTGTATCAAAGACTGTATTAAACTGTAATAATAAAAGTAGAGACTGTCTTTTGTTCCTCTTAGGACCCTTGAAGACAGGAATTGGAAGGTGCTTTTCAAGAATAGCCACACAAGCACAGCTAACAGCCTGGAGGGATGTTTTAAATGCAACAGTAGCTGATCAGAGCTAGAGGGGGTAAAGGCAGTGGAGATGAGCTTCTCTCTGCCCCAGGGAGGGCTCTTGTGCTTCCCGGTATGCCAGGGATGGATCTTCAGCGGAGCCAGACTGAGGCCTGTAGCCGCAGGGTTTTGTACCGCTGGTCCCTGGCAGGTTACGCTGGGACAAACCACCCCAAACCCCAGCCTGAGAATCGGTGCAGCTCCTGCGTGCACAACAGCCCCTCGCCGAGAGTTCTGGGTCGTGCTGGGGGAAATGCTGGATTAGAGCCTGGGCCAGCAACTAATCCAGTAGGCCTGGTACCGCTGCCAGCAAACGGCAGGCAGGAGAGCCTGCCCGCTCTTCTGCATCCCAGCTACCCTCAGGTTTTAGGCAGGAAAGAGGAGGGAAAAGCGCTTTAGCTGCTCCTTGCAGAAGAGGACACGAGCACTGGCTGGGAACACGCTGCGCAGCAAGAGGAGGGCTCGGGCGCTTAAGCCCACCTTGTGTCACTGCCAGGACAGGCTGGCTCAGGGGGCCCAGCCCGGAGCTGGCCCAGCCAGAGGCCCCGTCTGGCAGCTCAGCTTCCTCCTGCTTACGCCCCTCGATGCCGAAGCAGGACCGCTCTGAGAGCAGATGGGCAGGAAAGGGCAGGGAGCGCAGCACCAGGGGCTCACAGCAGAATCACGCGGGGTCTGCCGCTCCTGCTGGACTGGATGCCATCGCCTTTCCAGTCCCTGCAGATTCTGACCGTTTGGTGCTGCAGCCAGAAAGAACAGCCCTGCTGGGTTGCTCCTCCCCGGGAACCAATTCAGGTGTGAGCAGATGGAGGCAGAAGAATCCCTGGCAAGTTGGCATTGCTTTGAGCCAGCGAGCTGCGGTTCACAGGAGGAAATTTGGGGGGGGGGTGGTTCTGGGTCACTGTGGAAGGCTACAGTTAGCAATACCAAACCCTTAGGCACTGGGGGGTCCCTGACCCCCGCTGTCCTGGCTGCTGCTATTTCTGAGTAAAAAAACCAGAGCCTTTGCTTTGGGAAAACAGAATCCCATCCCAACCCACCACTGCACATGGAATTTTCTGGAGCTTATCTGGTATTTCCTCATGTTGGGAGTTTAGCCAACTCCCCTGCCCTGAGCTGCCTGTTACCCCAAGGATGTGGTTCCTCTCTGGCCAGCTGGTTTTGATAGTTGGCAAACATTTTCCAAAGTACCTCCAGGAGGACCCACCTGGCTGAGGAAGCCACGAGCAGGACCTGTGGTAACAGGTCCGGTCTCACCGGGGAGCCAGTGGGACGTTACAAATCAGGACAGAAAGCAGAAAACACTTGGCTCGCTCAACACCTCCCCTGAAGGGCAGCGCAGGACAGACTCACCCCGCAGCCATCTCAGCAGAGGAGCTGATCCTGTGCTGCTTTCGCATCCAGCCTCTGTTCCAGCCATCCCTTAGCTCTCTTAGGAGACAACCAGCTTTCCAGCCAGGGGGACAGAAAGCTGGGGCAGCTAAAAGAGGAAAGGAGAGCCAAGAGGCTGAAGAAAGCATCTGTAACAAGACATTTATTGATGGGCAAGTCTCTGTTCTGAAATAGAATCAGCTGTTTCCCCTGGCCGGGCTCCCGGCAGCTCCACCGTGCCAGCAGCAGCTGCGCCACTGCCGAGCCCTTGGCAGATAAAACGAGGTGGCTGACCGGCATGGCCCACGGTCTCTTTACGTGCCCAGGTCCAGGACAAGGTCGGGGTCGGTGGATACCATGAAAAGGTAGATGCGGCGGGATAGGTCTGGCCCAACACGACGGTCTTTCCCGCTGATGTCCGATTTCACTGGGATGTCACTCAGCAGGAGTCGTTTTTCATCTCCTGTGCTGCATTCTTGGTAGGCCTTTGAGCACGCAAGAGAAGGAAGCAGTTAGCACAGATGCTCCAAGAGAAGACTCCAATCTCCCCTGCAAGGCTCAATCCCATCATTACAATGAGGATCTGTAACTGAGCCTTCATCCAAACATACCAGAATCAGGGGATAAAACTCAGAAGGAACGAGATTATCACTTGCAAACAGACCTCACGCACTCACAGTTGTGTGTTGCCTCTCAAGCGTACAAGGAGAGCACTGGAAAGCCACTTCTGAAGCAGCTATGCTTCAGAACAAAGCTCCAGGGGAAGAAAAAGGAGAGGAGAGTATGTGACTACATGAGACTTTTTTTTTAAAAGTTCTGTCACGGTTCCTAATAAACGGAAAGAGTTTATGTGACTAATGCTCACAAGAACAAGCACTTGCTGATAAAAATGTGTCTTCATAAATAGGCTAAGCTGCTGTCAGAAGGGTCAGACAGCAACCCGGGCTAATCCTGCTCCCCCAACACCTCACTGGCTCTGGAACCAGCAGAAAGCCAAGGGGAGCAGGGAGAGGGACCGTTTAGTGAGCTAAATCAGCTCCCTGAAGGGTCGGGACACCGAGGGGTTTGAGGGCTTACCTGTAACAGGAGGCTTGGGGAGGGATATGCTTCTGCTATAGCTGCTGCTGTTGCAGGGCTGACTCTGTTAAACTGCTGGATTTGTCTCTTCCACACCTGCCAGAGTCCTGTGCCGTCCTTCTCCACTCGCACCCCGCTGGCCCAGGCCCCGGCAGCACAGAAAGGCAACTCCTGCGACTCCAGCTGCCTCCTGCAGACAGACCAACTGCTGAGAGCAAGACCTGGGGCTGGTGCAGGCACTGAGCACAGGCCTGCAGACCCCAGCGCTGCAGCCTTCCCCCAGCAGTAAGCAGCAGGCTTCCTTCTAAAACCTCTTTCTGCCCCGGACTAATATTTTTTCCCTCCTCATAATTTCTTTCCTTTCCTGGAAAGTTCCGGAACACCTTGGTGAAAAGGTTTTCCTAAGGCTGTCATTTTCCCACTTTTCCTCACGCTGAATCACCACTATATTCACCATGAGAACAGCAGATTTTCATTGGCACGGAGACTGAAAATCATCTTGAGACACATCTAGTCTGGGCCCGTACACTGACAGCATCAAGGACAGGCTGGCAGCCACACACAAACGTTCCTGTAACTTCCATGGAGGTTTCCCAAAGCTCTGGGCTTGGGGCATGACCGAGTCCAGCGACGCGACTCACTTGTACGGGCGTTTTGCTATTGCCTTTGTCAGCGCAGAAACATGCTGGCCGAATTCCTGCCACGTGTCTAGGAACAGCACTTCCATGTTACCCCACAGCTGCAGCAACACCAGCGCCTGGAGGAGAGGCCATGAGAGGTGAAACACCTAACACGCCGACCGATGGGACACAGACAGGCTTGGG